TTGTAGCCGTTGACATTTCATTGGGATCTTTAAGACAATGAGTCACAGTGACTTTTGTAGCAGTGGACATTTCATTGGGATCTTTAAGACAGTGAGTCACAGTGACTTTTGTAGCAGTTGACATTTCATTGGGATCTTTAAGACAATGAGTCACAGTGACTTTTGTAGCAGTGGACATTTCATTGGGATCTTCAAGACAGTGAATCACAGTGACTTTTGTAGCAGTGAACATTTCACTGTGGTCCTTAAGACAGAGAGTCACCGTGACTTTTGTAGCAGTGGACATTTTATTGGGATCTTAAGACAGTGAGTCACAGTGACTTTTGTAGCAGTTGACATTTCATTGGGATCTTCAAGACAGTTTAATCACAGTGACTTTTGTAATAGTGGACATTTTATTGGGATCTTTAAGACAGTGAATCACAGTGACTTTTTTAGCAGTGACATTTCACTGTGGTCCTTAAGACAGAGAGTCACCGTGACTTTTGTATCAGTGGACATTTTATTGGGATCTTAAGACAGTGAGTCACAGTGACTATTGTATAGCAATAGACATTTTTTTAGGGTTTTATGACTGCGCGTCACAGTGACTATTGTATAGCAATAGACATTTTGTTAGGGTTTTATGACTGCGCGTCACAGTGATTATTGTATAGATATAGACATTTTTTTAGGGTTTTATGACTGCGCGTCACAGTGACTATTGCTGTCAAATTACCATATCAAGAAGATTGTGATAAACATTGGTCAGACATCCATGAGTGGATTATTGATGCATTACTTTGTTCTAGAATTTGACAACTTTTAAATTGTTTAATATTCTCATCAAAGACAACAGAGTATTATTTCTTGTATTTCACCCACTAATCTAATCGATATCTTAATATTGGAAATGTACTTCTAATACATGCAACCTGAAGGTCAAAACAGCTCTCAGCTGTCCTATAATAACATTGTGGTGGCCAAGTCGAGTAATGCACACCCATAAGACAAAACAAAGTTAATCAACATAAAAGTTGTTCTGGATTGATGAAAGTAGTGAGTGCATGCATAGCTACACAGTTTGCTCACAGCTAATGAAAGTGTTAGCTAAAATAACTTGTCAGCACCCGAATTTCCAGCCTGTGTCTTCTGCTGAGAAACTAGATATTCTACAGGTATTACCCATAATCCACTGAGGTGCCATGCATAACACACATTTAAAATATATCTAATTTAAACAAATAGTGTCTCCATAAACCCAAAATGTCAAATAGACGACAGGCTATCAGTAACAATAAAATGCTGTACTTGGCGGCGAAAAATAGAGAAAATAACTCACTTGCTAAATTCACCCAGCTCTTGCCACAACTTGCTGGTTTGAAATGAGAGCAGATACGTAGCATTAAATACGCAGGTAAAGTTCTCATACTGTCACTGGATTGAAATTTACAATTCTTAGGAAATGCCAATGATTTCTGAAAGAGAATAGAAATTTAGAATTGATCAATTGAAAGATACAGTATCATTAAAATTATATTGTTAACAACCTTTACTGGCTGAATGACAGCCTTTAATGACTGAATGACAAACTTTACTGATTGAATGACAACATTTACCGACTGAATGACAAACTCTACCAACTGAATGACAACGTTAACCTATACCAACTGAATGACAACCTCCACCGACTGAATGACAACCTTTACTGACTGAATGACAACCTTTACCGACTGAATAACAGCTTTTACTGACTGAATAACAACTGTATACCAACTGCCAGGACAATCTCCACCGACTAAATGACAACCTTTACTGACTGAATGACAAACTTTACTGATTCAATGACAACCTCTACCGAATGAATAACAACCTCTACTGACTGCATGAAAACCTTTACTGACTGAATGACAGCCTTTACCGGCTGAATTACAGCCTTTACCGGCTGAATGACAACCTTTGTCGACTGAATGACACTTTTACAGCCCAGTTACAACCTCTACCGACTGAATGACAACATTTATCAACTGAATGGCAACCTCTACTGACTGAATGACATTTACTGACTGAATGTCAACCTTTACTGACTGAATGACAACCTTTCCCGACTGAATGACCTTTTCAGACGATTGAATGACAG